CAACTGTCTTTATTCTCTAATGTGTATGTATCCAACAGATTGTTGCCTTGTGCAAGGCCTTTTGATTCAGGTTCTTGTTAAAGGCAGAAAGCCACATGAGAGGTACTGCCGCTGAACTGAGCTTAATGGCACATTTTATGGACCTGCTATGCCACTGTTAGACATGAAAACTTTCACAGAATTCACTTGGAAAACTCCATGTGCTGTAGCTGAATGAACGACACAGGTACGTCACACGCATGACATAAACGAATGATAAAATGTTCACCTCTCTTTGAGGTATGTGATTCATAAAAGGTCTTTCATGCCAAGTGCAATATCACTGTACAAACTCAGTGCACAGCAGGCAGATCATAAAACAAGAGGACATGCTGCCTACAAGAGCAAATAAATTCCTACCTTGGTGTTTTTATAAACGGGCCACCTTAACTGTGTCCCACAAGTTGAATAGGACTGAAGTGTAGATCTGATGTGAAATGCATCCCTATAAAAGCCTGATCTACTGAAATCAATTCCACAGCTCCAGATAAGTCCGGGTGGAAAAGAGATGGATTTGACCCCATCACTATTTCCCCTGCCCCGTGTTTTAAAAGGGCAAAGAGATGATGTCAACATTCTGCAGTTCTACTGATTCTAAGACTAATTGTAGTCCCCATCTGGTGCTTCACTTATTTTTACAAATATCATCCCAGTTCTAGGCTTTTTCAAAGTCTTCGATTTTTACTAGTGTTTTGTAAATTAAGAATTAAAAATCCCAAATAAGGTAAAAGGGGATAACCTCCGAAAGTTCATGTCTAGTTTAGGTATGTCTTATTTTCCTATTCCCTGCCCCAGGTTCTGCATCTTCTGACCAACACTGACATTTTCACCTCATCATAATGGTTTTCAGAGTTATCAGAGAACCTAATCAGTAATAGTAACACCGAGTGACGTTGCTGCAGTATTACTAACCTTTGAGAAGACAGTCATAAGTCATGCAAAGTGTGAACTTTCTAAGTAACACCTTATTAGCTCCACTGCAATTTTCTTAGATATTGAGGCCAGAGGGGACTAGCAGTGCATTTACTGACTACCCTGTAGCTTTTCAGCTGGATTTCCAGAATACTGAAGCAAAGTCTTCTACGGAGCATAAAACAGGAAGAGAAGCTAAATATAGCCATCGTCCTGCTGTAAAGCATGGCTTCCTGGTAATAGGAGCCAAATAATCCAGATCCATTACCCACGCTATCACTCAGACTTGATAGTTTGATATTTCAGACCAAGAACACCTACTTCTATCCGTCTTAAATCACTCACACATTACGTCAAAATACTGTTCCTTAAGTTGTCATACCCAGACAAGGTTAGATAAAGGTAAATGGTGAGACAGATTTATTCATTTGGCTCTACTCACTATTTTAGTGAACAAATCTCATACCCAACATCTCCAAACAGAGATGATTTGGGGACATCAACATCATTGCCAGCCCCACTGGCTTTTGATCCTCCATCTTTTCTATGAGCATCTGGGGCTCATTTGAGAAATACAGTATCATCACACAAAAATAAGTTAGTTCTTCTGCTTTTACACAATTTGACCTCAGTCCAGGTTTACCTTTTTGTTTGTTTCTCGCAACATAGTCTTTTCTCACAGTGTTGTTCTGAGACATATACTCTAAAGGGACTTCTTAACAGAGAAGTTGGCATATATTGCACAGGCATCTGAATCACAGTGTTATTTTTCCTTAGTGGTCCTTCTGTAAATTAAGCATGACTTTTACCCCCCAAGCCATTAAAAGCTGTTTTAGTGACTGATACTGAGAGTTCCATAAATTCTCAAAAATAAAAACTTTCAGACAGCATTTCCTACTTACCATGATCTATGCAAATACTTATTTTGATTAAATCAATAATAGACATACCAGAAAGATGTGATTATCAATGAACCCATCAAAGAACCTGACAGCCTTTAACATTTTTCCAGTTGGTTCCTAGAATATAAAAAAGAACATTTTGGAAAAATTAAGATATTTTTATAGAAATTGCTCCACTCCAGGTCAAGTGGGTGCACAGTATATAAGTGAGCTGCTTTTTTTACCCGCAAAGATTATTTCCTACTGTGATAACTTTGTCTGAGAGCAGGCTCCCTAAAGTAAACATGAAGCTCAAAAATAGACTCTTAAGTCTGACATGAAAATGAGTTTCATAGTTTTATCTTTTAATCAAAAAAGCAAAACGATGAAGTCAGAACCTCCTGAAGTTAGACAGAATTTAGCTGTTGAGAACCCAGTGCCACACCTAAATTAGTAGTAACTAATTTTCTTTAAGTCTGATTCCTATTTTACAGCAGAACACTAAACACACTATCTGCCAGAGAGTACCAGTCTGTGTTCAATCCTATCAGTACCTTCAGGAAAAAAGGCATTTGAGAGCCCTCTCACAAGCTGACAACCCTTCCAGTTGCACCTCACAAATACAAGAATTGCATATATACCCATATGTTTTATCTTTTAATCAAAAAAGCAAAACGATGAAGTCAGAACCTCCTGAAGTTAGACAGAATTTAGCTGTTGAGAAACCAGTGCCACACCTAAATTAGTAGTAACTAATTTTCTTTAAGTCTGATTCCTATTTTACAGCAGAACACTAAACACACTATCTGCCAGAGAGTACCAGTCTGTGTTCAATCCTATCAGTACCTTCAGGAAAAAAGGCATTTGAGAGCCCTCTCACAAGCTGACAACCCTTCCAGTTGCACCTCACAAATACAAGAATTGCATATATACTTAAATAAGATTTCTAGTATTACTACTCTCACTTTATAAGATATTTGCCTAAAAACATTAGGTCTGGCCCTCCAGTCTGATAAAACAGTTTTACATTCTTCTGCTTCTGCAGAGAAGCCTGAAGCTGACAGGCCCAGGCTCTGGTTCCAAATACATTTCTGAGCACTAGCGGTGGCTCAAGGTGTCCCTGCCCCTGCTCTGCCAGCTCCCTTGTATCTTTTTTTTTTTTTTTTTGTTTTGTTTTTTTTGTGGTTGGACTCGATGATCTCTGAGGTCCCTTCCAACCACTACAATTCTGTGATTCTGTGATTCTGTGAAATAAGATTTCTAGTATTACTACTCTCACTTTATAAGATATTTGCCTAAAAACATTAGGTCTGACCCTCCAGTCTGATAAAACAGTTTTATATTATTATTTCCTACTGTGATAACTTTGTCTGAGAGCAGGCTCCCTAAAGTAAACATGAAGCTCAAAAATAGACTCTTAAGTCTGACATGAAAATGAGTTTCATAGTTTTATCTTTTAATCAAAAAAGCAAAACGATGAAGTCAGAACCTCCTGAAGTTAGACAGAATTTAGCTGTTGAGAAACCAGTGCCACACCTAAATTAGTAGTAACTAATTTTCTTTAAGTCTGATTCCTATTTTACAGCAGAACACTAAACACACTATCTGCCAGAGAGTACCAGTCTGTGTTCAATCCTATCAGTACCTTCAGGAAAAAAGGCATTTGAGAGCCCTCTCACAAGCTGACAACCCTTCCAGTTGCACCTCACAAATACAAGAATTGCATATATACTTAAATAAGATTTCTAGTATTACTACTCTCACTTTATAAGATATTTGCCTAAAAACATTAGGTCTGGCCCTCCAGTCTGATAAAACAGTTTTACATTCTTCTGCTTCTGCAGAGAAGCCTGAAGCTGACAGGCCCAGGCTCTGGTTCCAAATACATTTCTGAGCACTAGCGGTGGCTCAAGGTGTCCCTGCCCCTGCTCTGCCAGCTCCCTTGTATCCGCACAACTGTCAGTGTGGCTTGTGATGAACCAGATCAGGGAATTACTCTAGATGAGCAATGACTTGGGTTTCTTTCAGCTACATCATTTCTATAAGGAGAGAGGCTGTAAAACCCAAATTGTTCAGCATTGCCATGTACCCTGAAGCCATAGCTCTGGGCACTTCAAGACAGCTTTGCACAGTTTGAGATCATGTACTTCATGGGATTCTGTGGTTGTAAATGGTAACATTTTAGATGTTTCTGGACTGCCTGTCTTTGAAGATGCAGCAGAAATCCACTATATGGATCAAGACAAAGCCTCAAATGTCTTTAAAGGAAGGCTTATTTCAAATTTGAATGAAAATTTCCTGAGCAAAGTAGAAACTGTTGTCCATCTCAACATATACAGAATTCTTACATCCACACAGGGATGGCAATGGAATTGCATCTATCAGCATTTGCTAGGAATGAAGATTGGTGCGAAAATCATCCTAACACAAGTTGTACAGGACAATACACCAAGTCTAGATATGAAGGAGAAGGTATCCAGTATCTGCCCAAGAGCTGCAAAGCCTGCTTTAAAAGAGGTGCTTGCTTGAACAGAATGTCGCATGCTAAGCCAGTGAGGCTCTGCTGGAGCTCAGGAGTCTGTACAGCGTCATTTTAAATGGAAATTTTGCCAAAGCACAGATGAAACGCTGGACTTTGAGGGAACACATTACCCTGGGAGAACAGAGAATGACACAACCAAAGGAGCAAGCCCACTGAAACTTTTTTTGATCATTCGCATTTATTCAGATACCAGCTGCAAAGCACTACCTCCAGAATAATTCACTGCCAATTGCAAATCTATAAATTGTCTGAGTTCTTCCAAATAATGAATGACTAGTTCAACTTTCCAAAGAAAAGAAAATTCACAAGAACTTTTCCACTGCAGACAGCCATTATCAGTATCAGCTGATTCATTCTGTGTTGTCACGTTAGTCTGCACAAAGAAATATTTTGTAGTGCGAAGAAGGACAGTGGGTTGTAAAAATGGTGATCCAGAACTAAAAAGGATATCTACACATGACCTAAGCTCAGATAATGAAGTGTCTCATCATCGTTAGTAAAATATTAACAGGGGTTACCGGTTGTCATAGTAAAATGAGAGGCTGCACTGAACGTAACTTCATTTACGGACGTTCAAAAAAATTGACATCACGGCTGCGAGAACGTATAAATAACCAGCACACTGAGCTCCTGATCAGTTGCAGCAACAACCCTGAAGAGAGCATTCTACAGGCTCAGCTCCTCTAACGGCACAGCAGAAACTGGACTTTGTAAAATACACCGAGAAGCTCCTTTTTGCAAAACAGCTCTGAGAACGTCTGACAGATTTTTCCTCTGCCTTTATTTGTTTGGCATTTCTTTAAGCAAGCATGTGCACAGGAGGTTGTGCCAAGTGTCTGGGAACCACTCTTATCCCCCTGGCTGTGCTATGTACCCTCGCTAACATCTTGTTGTTTTTCCCTGGAGGAAAAGTGGCTGAAAACAATCTGCACATTACAGATGAAGTTTGGTACTTCGGAGGCATCTTGGGATCTGGTGTAGTGGTGAGTACGGAAATTCAGACGTTCCCACCTTTCCCCCCACCCACATCATGACTTTGCGTTGCTGAGTTTCCTCGGTACCTCAAATGCAGGTTCCAACACTGTAAACTCTTTTAGAGTAAACAAATATGTTACAAGTCATCCAATAGTTTTGCAATAAGTAACTTGATTTAGTGATATGTAAAAAAAAAAAAGAGAGAGAGAGACATAGAACTGTTATATTTAAAAGCAAATGTAATTTGAATTCATCCCAACTCAAACTGTATTTCTGTTATTGGTAGATGATCTTTCCTGCCTTGGTATTCTTGGGCCTTAAGAATAATGACTGTTGTGGATGCTGTGGGAATGAGAGCTGTGGAAAGAGGTTTGCGGTAAGTGAGAGGAAACATAGCAAAAAAAGTAAAAGCTAAATCGTTACCGGTATGATCTATGTATTTTCTGCTCATGGTCACTGAGAGACTAGATGGATGCTGCCCGGAGCGTAGGACACAAAGCCTTGCTGTTTGTCTGAGTGCTGGAAGGTAGAAATATCAGGCTGTAAAAATTGTACTGTGCCTCTGATGTTGTGCCACAAGTATCACACCTGTTCTGCCTTATTGTATTTTGCTGTCACAAGATACTTGTGGTTGCTTTCACAATTAAAACTAATTTCTGACAGATCTGCACTTTGTTTTGCAGTGTTAACAGATATCTCTTTAGCCAGTTTTTGTTGAAAATTTTTAAAATTATTCTGAGTTGGGGACTACATTCCCAACTCATTGCAGATGCACACAATGGGCTGTGAATATCTCAGAGGTTCATAGGAAATTTCAGGTTGTAAGAGACCTCAGCAGGTCACCAAATCCAACCTCCTACTCAAAGCCAGGTAGATCAGGCTCCATTTTGAATTTATAGCTTCCTTTCACACTAGAAGTGGAGAGTTTCAAATGGAAACTTTCAGACATTAGCAAACATTTCAAACATTTTAGTTTAAAAATGAGATTAGAGAAAAAATAAATATATTTCTATCAGGAAGGTCTGTCCTTTTGAAATAGATTGTTTGGCTCAAGTAGGTCATTACACTTTTTTTATAAAGGAACAGGTTTTCAATTGAAATAAAAGGGAAAAAAGAAATTGGGAAAGAATCATGGCTGTGAGGTTAACAAGGAGCCTTCCCTAAATCCCCTGTCTTTGATGCTGTCTTCATGCAATCCCAACAAAGCAGGTGGATCTTCGGGGGCAGGGGGGAAATAGGGCCACGTATTTCTCTTCACCACATTGTATTAACAATTTTCTGTTGGCAGTGAACGTAGCTTAGTTCAGCAGTTACCAAACTACTACCATTTTGCACTGTAAGGCAGCAGAACTGGGGGCATGGTTGTACCTGGGGGTGACCCACCAGGGATGACCCACCAGTTGTGAGCACTGCTGCCCAGCCTCCCGGTGGCATATAAAAGCTGAACTGTGCATGTGTGGTGCTGCCCACGAAGTGACCCACCTCCTGCCGTGCTGTCCCTGATGACAACTCATCTTAGCTGGCTGAGAGACTGGGATTATTAATACAGTCATAAGTACTAAGTACACCATACTAAAAAGGTCCGAGTGGCCTTACCACAGCATGACCGAGAACTGAATTTGTTCTTGTATGTTAGCAGAAACACCATTATTATGATGTCTGCTACATAAACATAATGTTTAAGTTAGTCCCATTAGAGATATCAACATAAAAATGCATGTCAGCACTGATGGCTAGAGTCTCATGATGAGGTCCGAACAAAAGCTCACAGACCTGACATCACCTTTCTTTTCTTCTTTCGCCTGTATCACTTTGATCCAACAACTACCCCTACCTACAAACTGTTATGGCTACAAGTGCTTCAGAATTAAAGCAGGGCGTAAGTTTCTGCATGATTTACTTACATATTAGAGTACGTGAAAATGCTGTAATGGGAAGCCGGAAAAATAAAGACATCCTTTCTATGCCATTCCAATTGCACTGTTAGAGCTAATGATGACAAGTACCTGTGAGGAGATAAAGTACACTAATACGAAACCTCCTCTTGGGAGACTCAGGGAGAAAAAATACAATTACTTGGTCCCAATATGACCAAGATACCAAAGGTAACTTGTAAAGGGTTCTGTAGAATTTTTTTTAATGCCTTGAGTGGTCCAAGACTTCAGTCTTGCTTACAGTCTTGAGAAAAACACCCACTCCAGTGAAACACAGGACCTTGAACAAGTCTAGTGGACAAATACTGTCCAAAGGGGAGGAGTGCCACCTACTGTGTCAGCATCGACCCTTTCATCTTCAGGCAAATGGTGCTAATTCTTTTAAAGCTTCTAAATATCAGTGCAGGTACGCCTTATACATTTACTATGTAATTGCAAATTAATATATTTTAGCTGGTCAGGAGCTATTTTGACTGTTAAGAGCTGAATTTAGGGAATATACATTCACATTAATAGGCTACATTTCCTTGTTTGAATGAGAACAAAAATAACATTCTTTTTCTCTTCATCAGATGTTTTCTTCTATAATATTTGCTGCAGTTGGACTTTTGGGAGCTGCATACTGCTTTATTTTGTCAGCAGTAGCCATCAACAAAGGCCCTAAATGTAACACTGGAACAGAATGGACCTATCCTTTCCAAGATGGGTAAGACAAGCCAAACAGAAAAAAAAATTATACATGTTTAAACTTTGTGATATGATTTAACTTCCAAATCCATTGTCTAAAAATAGGAATTTTACAGTTTGTCTAAAACACAGAAGCTCTTAGAAGAACCAGCAATGCATAGCAATACAAAATATGGTTCAAGACCATGGATGTAAAGACTAGCAAGTACAATCAAACCTACTGAGTTTCAAAGGAACCAATAAAGAGAAATGCACAGCCTTCTGGATGGGGCTTTGAGCAACCAGCTATAGTGGGAGGTGTCCCTGCCCATGGCAGGGGGTTTGGAACTAGATGATCTTTAAGGTCCCTTCCAACACAAACCATTCTATGATTCTAGGTTATTCTTAGGATGATAGGCTACAGGGATAAATTCCACCCAGATGATAGCAGTGACATCTTATAGCAAAATTTGATGGTATTAAAATAATTTGTATCTACATGTCACTTTATCTTGGTTATGGAATTTGTAAGTTGTCCGTTCCTCACACTGCAACTCAAACATGTTTGCTGTCATGTATATTTACCACTTTCAGAGAGGTGGTGTGAAGGACATGAAACCCCCGTGATCCCATTGCTCAGGGCTGAAGCCAGCAAAGGCCCAACTGGGAACAGGGTGTTGACGTGTCACCAAAAAGAGGAGGACAAATCGACAATGGGTGCAGCACCTGGCAGCCCCGTCGCTGGGGAGGTGCACTTGGCGGATGTATGACATACCACCTGGTGTCAGCAGAGAACCAACCATCAGTAACAAAAATGCTTTCACCAGAAGACATTGACACAGAAGAACATCCACTTGGCACATGCTTGGCCAAATGGATGTTCAGTCATCTTCCCAAAATATCAGAAACTGTTCAATTGTAGCTAACATGTACTCACCTCCACTTGTTCCCTTCTGGTGCCTTGGCTTTTCAAAACAATTGCTTCAATCGATCTAGAAACTCAAACGGGACCGCGTTCTCGATAAGTAGCATCAGTGTGATAATGGGAAGTCTTTCTCGCAGCACTGAAGCTAAGAGAGCATCACAGCAGTGACAGCTTGTCAGCCGTGACATACACACCCTGCCCCGTGAGCTAACAGCACCTTCATAACTGTTTTGTTCATCCCCCAGGGATTACCTCAGTAACCACACATTGTGGACCAGATGTCGCTCCCCCGAAAACATTGTCCCATGGAACCTGACCCTCTTCTCCTTGCTGCTTGTCATGAGTGGGATCCAGGCAGTGCTGTGTGGCATTCAGGTGGTGAACGGCCTCTTTGGAACAATCTGCGGGGACTGCAAATGTTGCGGATGCTGTGGGGTGAGCATCTGATGTTTTTCTTTCATTATTTTGTGTATTGATGACAGTTCCATTATATACCTGACTAGCTGACAGTCTGACAAACTAAACTAGCCTTCATTCATTACCATGATTGTGATTTCTAAAGTACAGCTGAAACCCTACAGTGTTGTCAGGTGCTGAAAATATGATCTCAGCCCATATTATGGTGTTGATCTGACAGCTTCCCATAGCCACTGGGAAAAAATAAAAACCTTTGAAAGGCACAGGAATAGTAGTCACTAAATTATCTCCATATTTTTATTCTTCTAGGGAGATGGAACTGTCTAAAGAATATGAGTATTTCCTTGTCTTGGGAGGCTCCCTTTTGAAACCATTCCATAAAGCAGCCCTACAACGCATCGTCTCTGGCTAAGAAGATGAGAATGAAGGGCACTTCCCCCCCACTAACGTTATGAAGCCCTGACTCCCTTTCTAGCCTTCCTGAAACCGCTCATCACGGAATAAAATAAATTAAATACAACTCTCACATTCATAATTATTTTGTAAAACAGTTTCCTTTGAAATAGAGGGTATTCTCAAGCAAAATATTTTCTCTCCTGAGTCAGCTTTCCAACTGGGGATCACTAAATGCTGCTGGTACAAGTTCAGTTGTAAAGTAGCTGTGTCTATTTCCATTGGAGGTTTATCACATGGAAATACCACAAGCCTAACTTTTTTTGAGTAAGTGTCTACATTAGGTGGAAAAGTGAGGACTTCTCTTTTCTAGACCTGCTATGATTAAAAAGCTCTCTACAAAGAGAGTCTCTGTTACAGAACAGATTCATGGAGGTCTCTTCTCTTGACTGTGCCTGACAGATGGGTGCATTCAGGAGCACTGCTGGGTAGGTAAGTGGAGGGTCAAAGTAAAAGCCAGAGCATAGAGTGCTGCAGATCCCTAGTCTGAGGCATTGAGAGTCATCTTGGACACCACAATACAATATTCTACACCAGGAATTTTGTGAGAAAGGCTAATTCACAGCCGTTTCTCAGCACAATGGGAGTCTGGCTTCTCCACTCATCTGTAATCAATTTTCCTGCAGTCACTCTCACCAGAGAGAATGCAACAACACAATACGGCTATAGAAGATGAAACCTTAAACAGAAAGTAGAACATGGGAGGCTTGTAGAGAGACCTTCCCAGCCTACCATTTGTTGTACTCCAGGGACCTCCTGAGCTAAAGGTTCTACCTCTGCATTTCACTCTTCTTGAGGAATTCTTTCTCCACGAAGCTGTCCAGTTGTTTCTTGAATCACAATATGCCTTCCATAGTCTAACTTCATGCTGTGGGAAGAACCTTCTTTGTTCTGACCCTGCCACCTGCTCCTTTTGTTTGATGCCTCCTAGTTCTTGCCTACAAGAAAAAGTACACAGAGAGTCCTATCCCCCCTTCCCCGTGATACCTAATTTCATAGATTCTCTCGTATCTCCTCTCAGTTGTCTCTTTATTTAGTCTGAAGAGCATTAGTATATTTAGCCATTCTTCATACAGTAGTTGTTTCACCTTTATTTGAAGTTTTTTCACTAACCAACCCACTGTGATCTCTTGTCTAACAAAGGTGATGCAGTGACTTAGGGTCACAGGTAAACAGGTCCAGGAGGCATCTCTGGAGCCTACCTTTGTATGCAAACGTAGTGCAAACAACACTTAAATAACTCATAAGACATCTGTGTCACGTGTTCTTAAAAATCCCAAAGTTCAGAGATCCAACATCTTTTTAGCATTTTATAACACTGCAAACTATTCTGGAAGTTAGGAAGACTCTTAATATGTAATCATGCGCCCCCTGGCACAACACTCTTCTTTTCCTGGTAGGCTTATGGAAAAGTCTTCCCCTTCCCAGCAAAATTCTACGTATTTGGAGACTCCTATCATGTTTCAGTCCTCACCTCTGACAAAACAAAAAATGTTCACTTCTTCATCATAACTGATGTTCTTTCACAGCTCAGTATTCACCTTGTCTTCCTGCAAGCTTCTCCTACAACTTTCCAGAAGCTGAACACTGGACTGGTGACTTCAACACAGGTTACAATTTCTATTCAGTTGAGTAGCTCATAATTCCTCTTATTAAAGCTTCCAATCCATACATGAGTGCAAAAGCTTCATTCACCTTTTTGCAGAAGTTCAATTTAGCTATGTTCAGCACAGTGCTATGAAAGAGATAAAAAAGGCAAAAGAGTTGAAAGGCAAAAATACTTCTTAGAAAGAACCAGTCTTAAAAAATCAGAAAAAAATTATTTCCTAAAGAAACCAAGTAGGAAATACGAGGGATTGGAGAAGTTTCAGGGATTCAGATCAACTGATATGCCTCTTAAGAAATTCCTACAAACAAATTTTCACAAGCCAGCTTTCCAGCCTGGGTGTCTCAAGACTTGTAGATCATCAACGTATTTGCCACATCTTTTCCCTAAAATTTTCTTCCTGAAATACCGATTCTGTAGCCTGTGCTTTCAGAAAATGTCTTTCATGTAGTCTGTAATTATGCTAGAGGTATCTGAAGAACTTAAAGTATTCAGAAACACTAAAAGCTGGCAAGCAATATGCAAAAATGTTAAACAGCTAGATTTAGGTACTAAGAGTTACATTAAGAAAAGCAAAGTGGCCTCAGTAATACACTGTGCAAGATGATAAAAGAAATTATAAAAAAACCTCTTCGGAAACAGCTGTCTCTCCCACCTGTTCTGCAGCATTGCTGGGGAATTTGAGAGTACCCTTTATATCACCACCCACTGATGCAACCATCTCCCATCTATTCTTTCATCAGTGGTTACCAGCTGTCCTGCACCTCATCTCACATTTGTCTTGTTTTATTTATATGAAGCCTTTGGGAACATGGAATGTTTCTCATCAGCATTCAACAAAGGGACGGGTAGCTGCATAGTGTACAATTTTGATATATTAATAAATCTTTGTGGGAGACTTGGGATAAGAAATAACAGACAGGAAGCTATGATACCTAAAACCAAAACCAGCAAGTGCTTCATGAATTCAGTGCTTCTAAGATACCCAACTACACGGTGGTTTCTAACATAGCTAATACAGAGCAGATACTGAGAGAAGGCGCACATTTCATCTTGGGATCTAGGCTGCATTTGCACCAAGGCCTTGGGGTGTACTGAAAAAGCATAGACAAACTGGAACCAGCAACTCAGCTGGTTTAGCATTTTGAAGTGCCAACAACAGTGTTCCTAAATCTATTTAGTTATTGTTAACATCTGAGGCTCTCACCTAGCATTTAATTTCAAGGCAATCACACTTATCTCCAGCATCTGTTCTGCAGTAACTGGAGATTGCTCTCTGTGTTTTTACTGAGCAAAGTGTCCAGTAAAAGCCAGGAGAGGGGTCTGATCACACGTTGTTGTAACAGAGAAAGATCTAAAGGGCCAGTGGTACTCCTGGGAGAGAAGTCACAGGTACAGAGAGGACAATGCTAGACAGGGACAGAAAGACGATGCTAAGAGAGGAACCACAAACAAGGAGAACTTAAAGTGTTGTAACCTAGTCCTGGCCAACCTGGACATCCACCAGGCTCAGTTTTAGTGTGTACAAATGTAAACTATTACACAGATGTAGAAATCCTAGTAGCCTAAAAGAAAAATATTAGCACCAGTTCATAAAATCTGAGATGCACACATTATCTGACACTTCATTATTCACCCATAAAAAACTGGTTGCTCAGTGACTGTTTGACTAAGCTGCTGAGAGCATGGCAATCCTGACACTGCGTGACATTTCAGCTGAGAATTTACCTAAAAAGAAACACATAAGTGATTTAACAACCCAGAGGTTGTTAAATCCACCTCCACCTCCACAACAGGTGGAGTGCATATGTGTGATTTTGAGCCCATGCACTTCAACTTCAGCCTAACAAAACCAGTGCCCCTGCACAGCTAGACTATATACAGCTGGAGCTCTCTTTATGGATTGTCTCCAATAAATAGACTGCAACAAGACAACACATTAACCACAGCACAGTGTCACCAGTCAGGGAATGATGTGTTATTTAACTGGCAACTGTTTGCAAAAGTTTCTCTTCTAAAATTAGGAAGTAACATACACAAAGTAAGAAGACATTTGTTCAGCCAAGAGCAAAGGATGTTTTCTAACATCATTCTAATCTTGAATGTTCATCCCCTGGCCATAATTCAACTGCAGCTCCCCCTTCACAGCTTCTAGATTACCCACAGCATAACCAGCAATAAGACAAATGACAGCAAACTGCAACCTCTTCTGCCTGAGGCTTGGGAGGTTGACTTCTTCTGTGGTGTTGGTATGGGTGGGGTAATTACCTCAGAGGGCAGACACTGGTATCACAGGGATGGACATGAATAAAACCCCAGCTAAAGCACCTCTGAAGCTTTTTCTTGCCAAATTACTTTTTCAGTAGGAGAGGACACACAGTTTAACTGTGTCTGGATTTCATCCAGGAAAGTTAATTTTCTTTCTAGTGATTGCTGTAAAAGGACTGTCAATAAGGCATATTGTTTTAGTTGTTGCTAGGCAATGTTTACATTTCTCAATAACTCTTTTCAGCTTCCCATAGAAGCTGGGAAGGAGCATAGACAGAACAAGGCAATATTCCATACCATAGATGTCATGCTCAGTATAGAAATGGGGGTTGGCCCAGGGAGGAGGTATCTGCCATCTCTGCTCGGGTTGGGCTGGGCAACCAGTTCACTCTGTGACTTATCTCTTGTATATTCTTGCACCAGTAAAATTATTATTTTCCTTTTCCATTATTGTTCTATTAAACTGTCTTTATCTCAACCCATGAGGTTTTTTTTCCCCTTTCCCCTCCTTTTTTCCCCATCTTCTCCCTGCCCTTCTCAGGGGGAAGGGGGAGTAAGCAAGTGGCTGTGTGGTCCTTGCTGCCAGCTGGGGTTAAAGCACAACAGGGACACAGGCATTACTGATGACATGGGGAAGAGCAAGCTTTGAGGACCAGGTAGAAAAAAAAAGCACAAGAAAGATTTTAACTGAAGTACCACACTGAAAATAACATTGTTGGGATGCCCTCCTGACAGAGCTCTATGGAAAGCGGTGTGAGAGGTGGGACTCCCAGCAGAGATGTGGACACCACTCATCCAAAAGAAAACACAGGCACAGGAATCCTTTGCAGGCGTGACACCGTTGGTGCAGCCTGAAGTGGCTTTCTGAACCCCAGCAGGGAAATGAGAAGGCCCATCACCGGGACTGCTACGTTACCTTGTTGTCTGGGAAAGGCAGAGTACTGACGTGCTTCCTGTGAAACAGCTGGGGGTTTCAGTACATCACAATCTCAGGAAATCCCCCCTGACGTGTTATTACAGCTCTCGGGTAACAATATCATGGGAGCAGCCATCTGCACCGAGCACTGCCAGCTTGGAGGGAGAGAAAGATACCTTCCAAGACATGAGTTGGCATCTTTAGAAACAAACCGAAAGACTTTTAAAACAAACACACATTCTATGTTTCTGTTCAGCATTTAAGCCACTCATCCAAAAGAAAACACAGGCAC